AGTGCTGCAATGAACATGGGTGTGCATATATCTATTCGTGTGACAGCTCTTATTTCTCTAGGGTATATTCCAAGTAGCGGGATTGCTGGATCATATGGTACTTCTATTTCTAGCTTTTTAAGGAAGCGCCAAATCAATTTCCAAAGTGGTTGTACCATTTTACATTCCCACCAACAGTGTATAAGTAAGTGTTCCAGTCTCTCCACAACCTCTCCAGCATTTATTATTTTGTGTTTTTTGGATTAGTGCTAGCCTTCTTGGGGTAAGATGATATCTCATTGTAGTTTTGATCTGCATTTCTCTAATGGCTAATGGTCGTGAGGATTTCTTCATGAAATTTTTATCTGAGTATTTTAAAAGGAATGATGGATGAATGAGTGAATAAAAGAGAAAGCAGGTGAAAATGAATGTTAGTTATGATGTGCAGTTCTGGAAGGCTTCTCAGAAGAGGTGACATGTAAGAGCACAATAAAGTGAAGGAGCAAGCTGTGCAGGTATCTCAGGGAGGGGTGTGCTTAGGCAGCAGGAGCAGCGAAATCTGCAAGGCTCCAAAGCAAGGCCTGAACAGCTGTTTGAGAAAGAGCCAGGAAGCAAAAGGAGCAAAGGCAAGAATGGCAGATGGTATCCCAGGAGAGGTTGCCAGGGCCCAGGTGATAGGGACCCTTGCAGACTTTTGTAAAACCCTTTGGGCTTTAGTCTGTTTGAAATCGGAGGCCATTAAATAGTTTTCTGCAGAGAAGTGACTTGGTTGAATTTATCTTTTGAAGAAGCACTCTGACTATTGTATGGAGAATCAGTGTAGGGGGGCAAGAGGGAATGCAGGGCTGCCAGCCTGGAAACACAGTAGTCCAAGCCAAGAGGTTAATAGAAGGGGGAGTGGAGGAGGTACTATGAGGTGTCTTTGAAGTAGAAAGAATGTGCCAATGCTGTGGTGTGTGAAAGAAAGACAGAACTCAAAGAAGGCTACAGGTTTGGGGGCGTGAAAGAAGGGAGAATGATGGTGCCTTATACTAAGTTGGAGACCCCTGAAGAGAGGGGGAATTGTGATTAGAGAGTATAGAGTCAAGAGTGCTATTAACATCTTATGTTTGGATGGATATATTGAGTTTGGAGAGGTTGTAGGCACATAGACACATGAATGGGTCTGGAGTGCACAGGGGAGATGGTGGCCACTACAGAGTCATTAGTGGAAATGGTTGAGATCCACTGAAGAATTGATGTAGCTAGAGAGGAGCTCAGTAAAGATCCAGGTGTGGGGTAGTGTAAATTGATCCTTTTTGTTTTGTGTTTTCAAAAATGTGTAGTTTTAAACTTTAATAATTGTAAATAATTATTAAATTGACTGGACTTATAAAAACGTATCTTCATTAATAAGTATTTCTATGTGTTCATTTTTCTCTCAGATTTTAAGTTCTTAAATGTTACAGCATATATATCTTTCTTATTTTCTAAGGGCTTAATACCTCTGTCTTCTGAATAAATATATATTACACAATAACTGCCTTCTCTCCTTAAAGTTTGAATATATTTTAATTGAAGAACTAATATCTAGATATATTATTTAAAAAAATTATACAGTTCAAAAATATAGAACACAACTTGAAGACATTTTTTAAGGCAACACTTCTTGTACGCCCCTCTCCCCCCGCCCCACCAAAAAAACCCTCCCACATTATCAACAATTGTAAATATTTTTTTACGGGTCTTAACATATATCTTTGCAAATTACATATTTACTTTTAAAAATTTAATTGCAAAATATAACATAGAGAAAGCTGCATAAAAGCAATGTATAGCCTATTAAGTTATTATATAAGACAAGCATCCTGATCTGGAGCAGGCTTCTCTCCAAAACTCCTGGCTTCTTTTGAGGGAAATGGTGTTTCAAGGCTACAGTCTAGGTACTAGAAATACCTATTGTTCCTACGCCTTTTCAAACGGAGAAAATTAGAATATTTCTTTGCCTGTTTTCTTAATTTGTCAACTTTTTTGCTTATACATGACATTTCTTAATTAAAAAATTGTCCTTCTTTTACTTTGTTTCTCTTAAAGAAGTATAACTTCTTATTCATATTTTAGTTCTTTGAAGTTTATTCATTTCTGAAATTACTTTTAAAAATTTTATATTATTTCCTAATTATGATTTATGCTTTTTTTTTTTTTTTCTTTCCACTCTTGTATCATTTTGAAGTAGTTTATAGTTTTCATCTATTTTGTGGGCATGCCATTAGGGCATGGTTAATACTTTGTTTCTTCTTTTCTTTGTCTTTTATAATATTTTTTGTAGGATTTGACTTTGATCCTTTTTGTTGCTTAGTTTGATGTGATTGGTTTTTCTTAAGGACTGACTTGATTATTTTGGGAACTTCTTCTTTCTTAAGTGTTTTGGTTAAGAAATGTGCAGAAATCTTAAGTGTATATCTGTACATGAAGTAAATATGCCCATGTCACCAGCACCGAGATCAAGAAATAGAACACTACCAGCATCTCAGAAACCCGTTCATGCTATTCCCAGCACTTGCCACCAATATGCAAGAGCTCTCCTGGCTTTTACTCCAGAGTTTAGTTTTGCCTGTTCTTGAATTTTATATGCGTTTATTTCTAATCTTCACTTTAGCTGTATCTCACGTTTTAGTCAGTAGAGTTTTCATTATCATTCTGTTCCATGTATTCTCTAATCAGAATTATGATTTTTTGTTTACTCCTGGGTTACTTAGAATTATAAGATTATATATATGTGTATATATATATACATATATATTTCTAAATCCATTGCATATTTTAGTCATATTTTTGTTATTAATTTCTAAATTATTATTTCAAAAAAAATTTTAATGCTCTGATTGTGGCTAGTTTTCATAAACGTTCCATGAGTGCACCATTGTCTTAATTTGTGTTTATTTGTCCTGTTTAGTTTATAATCTTTTTGTTAAATTACATTCTTGATTTCTTTTGGTTGTAATGATGCTTTGCTTTTGTTTACCTCAATCTATGTCTTACCTTTACTAATTTTGAAGTTAGAGACTATAGATTCTTTTTTGGTGATAGTAGCCTCAGGCTTATCTCCTAGTTTCAGTGCTCCAGAGGTCAATGAAATCCCAGGCTCTAAACCAGATTGAGAAGATTCCTTCAGGGAAAATGTCTACTTGGTTGATACCTTATCTCTTTGTGATCTTGCTTTCTTATCCTTTCTGTCCTAATTGTTTCCCTTATCCATGTTTGGAGAAGGTATTTTAAAATTTAGCACATTATTTATAGAATCTTTAAAAACAAAAAAAGGAGAATGGTTTCATTGCGTATTTTGTTTTCCAAGTGACAGGAAATGGGAGATTAATTATTTTAAAAAAATAACTTTTCTAGTAGTTC